AACTTGCTACGAGGTTATGATCTGTAGAAGTTGTAGATATCTCTAGTCGTTCCATCGAAACCTGCTTTCATTGAGGAACCAACTCATCCAAAGCAAAAGTTGAGCTTTTACCTCGCGTATTCATTTACTGTTTGCCCATAACATTCACCTTTATTGACGGCAATGATCATCCACTTATTAAATCCTGACAACTTGGCTTGTCTGAGAATGCGACGTTTCCATTGAAAATACGAGAACATTTTCACCAATGAGTCCTAGAAGTGCTTTCTTTATCGAAGGCTATAAAAATACTCGATTGGGCGCCATACGGTTACTTGGTCGCTAGTTTTCAAAAAAATGGCGTGATTATTTCGCCTCACGTGCATTTCCATGTTAGTGATGGAAGAATGTTTTACGCTTCCTGGGTGGTGTGTAAGTGAAGACAACGTAGGAAACGCGGTCCGATCATGCATGAATGAGCCAAGCTTTGTGGTGGAATTTTGGAAATCAACTTTGTAAAGTTAAGATTATTTACTTATAAAAGCGGTCAACATTTTGACGCACCTAAAGACATGAACCCACTTCTGTCAACTTGCTTGATCAGAGAATGGTATTGACTAAACGCCCAAACCCTCTTCATTGAGCACAGAATAATTTTAATTCATACCAAATGGAAGGCTTTATGATAGTTAGCTGACTTCGGGCTCCACAGAGGGTAGGAACATCAAAGCGACAAAAAGTGGAGAGGAGAAACAGAAGAGTGATTCACAGTTGTGAAAGAGACGGACAGACATATACTGTGGAAGTGGTGGAATATGACATACAGTGGGATCATGATAGCTTGAGAATACGTTGCCTAGGGTGCACCACATGGAGGTAAGTCTATCGTGCACCCCTTTTACACAAAATAAAAAATCGTATATTCGAGGCAATTTGAATTGAAGGAGCTCTCCTGTTCATGGTACATTTGCAAATAGACTAAGTGACTTAATACCTTTACGAGGTTCTATTTAACCTCAACTTTTGAAAAGGAGACAAATCAATTTGGTTAGGCAGGGTGCAGATATCCGTCCCTCCAACCTGAATTTGAAAAGCTAACTTAAAAATGCACAACGTATCAGAATTGAGGTTGACATTTTGTAATAACGGTCTTTCATCTTTTTTAAGACCATAAACATTTAGAAACAGTGTACGGATGGCATTTTCTTGCAAATTCATTTAAATTATGCCAACTTTACAATTCCCATGCCTTTAAGAAAGAATCGTATTCAGCATTATGAACTAGAGATAGGTCTCAATTAATGCCAATATATTATATCCTCAATGGAAATCAAATGATTTTATCTCTCCTCCCCCACGTTCCAAAGAATTGGAGTTCCGTTACCCCCAGATATTCCATTTCTTTGAAACGCATTTATGCACCGAAGTTAGCTCTATACCATCAGCACGTTCGGACCTAGCACTTGTTGGATTGTCATTCTAGAATTCAGCAGATATAACACAGATCATCACCATTTATTTGACTCAAATTTTTAAAGAGCACAGTAACGTGATCCACTGACATCCAGTTATGCATCAATATATTTGTTAATAAGCAATAAACGAAGTCATTTACAAGTGTATGCAATTTCCTTATTATTTAACAGAAGATAAAAAAGCCACATTTATGTTAATCATTACTATTATCAGACAATCAACTCGCTTTAATTGCCTAGCATTTTGAACCCAAAATTTTCTCTCAGTAGATGGAGGGTGCAATAGACTTACCTCCACGTGGTGCACCCGGAGCAACGTATACTCATACGGCAAAAAAGTCTATTAATCGGCAGTTGACATCTGACTTCAAACTACCAAGACCCGTCTGTATGTCATATTCGGCTCCTTCCATAGTACTCATCTTACCTTATCTCTGCCCTTGTGTCTGTCTGTCTCTTTTACACCTGTGAATCACTCTTCTGTTCCCCCTCTCGACTTTTTGCCACTTTGATGTTCCTCTTCCCCTCTGTAAAGCCCGAAGTCAACTAAATGGCTAATGATACTTATCATAACGCCTGCCAATTGAAATAAATAAATCTCTCAGCAGGATTGGTTTGGCGCGTCATCTTTTGGGACAGCAAATGTGTGTCGGTATGGAAAGTGCATGAAATGTAACATTTTTGTGAAAAATTCTAGCATGGCGAGGCATCTTTTAATTCTTAAAAAAACTTTCATCAACTGGTAAATTGTGGTTTACTCGAATAGCTGATTCATCATTATACCGGTCCGCAATCTAACGCGTTTAAACAAATTTTTATCAGAATTTCAGTTGAAAATTTGCGGCTAATTAAATTAAGGAGGAGAAAAATTAATTAATGCGTTCATTCAGTAGGGTAAGTTAAATTAAACCAAATACATATGTCAAAATGCATAACTCATATATGTCTTTTTCACTTTAGAAATAGTTAAAATACCATTTATTTAAGATTATGTCAAAAAGAGATCTGGGAAACTTTCTTTTGGTGTCATTTCTTCAGTGTTATTTGTATTTCTGAAGGTGAAAATATTTAAGTCTGGGGTCTGCGATAGACTTACCTCCACGAGGTGCACCTTGGGCAACCCTGGTCTACGTATTCTAAGTCTATTAGCCAGCGGTTGGCTTCTGACTTCAAACTACCTTGAACCCACTGTATGTCATATTCGACCACTCCCACAGTCCTCACCTCACCTTTTTTCCAGCTTTGTGTCTGCCTCTTTTACATCTGTGAATCACTCTTCTGTTCCTCCTCTCGACTTTTTATCACGTTGATGTTTCTCCCCTCTGTGAAGCCCAAAGTCAGCCAAATAGCTAACGATAACTAACAAAACACCCGCCATTTGATATAAATGAACCAATGAAATATATTGGAGGCATTTTCCTTCAATTCGGAAACCGGTTTTGTCACATTTTTTAAATTAAACCAGTACATAGTTTCATTATCAATTTATTTTTTCGTTAAAACTATTCGAATACCATACAATTACTCATGTTCCTCCGCCTTTTACAACTAAATAACAACGGTCTTCACGAAGGCTTCGTGGTTGTCCATTCGTCAATGCTTCGCTCTAAGTTTTAACCTTCTACTCGCATCATATAATCGCGTTTAATGCTTAACAAATTTCATAGTAAGGTCAATCATGTAAATTTTGTCATCTTTGTTGCTTAAAGTCTGTTTAATACCCCCCCCCCTCTCCCCTCCAACCAAGCAAGCTTATTTCGCTCTGTCGATTGAAATTTTTACCCGAAATGACGTGTCCTTTTTGCGATTTAGACTTCGAATGGCTCCACACAAAATTAGCCTTTTTGGTTAGCAATTAGGCATTCAGTTTCATTTGCCTGTGCAGGCGCATTACCTCCAACCCAAATTTCTTTCTCCAATTTCAATAAATATTTCTCAAGATCAACTATAAATTCTCTCGATCTAGGAAAGTCGGCTATATATATTCTGTTAGTCAGGTTTAATTTTTGAGAAAATTTGCCCTGCTGTCGGAAGAAAAGCTTCATGTTTCCTTTTATTATCTTTAAAATAGTGAAAAATTTCAGACAGACAGACACAGGTAATTTTATCGAAATATCAAATGCCTCTAAACAAAAGAAAATTAGGGAAATATAGTTTGAAAGGAGAAGGAAGACAAAAGTGGGATCTTGAATTTCTAGTCAGGACGTGAACTCACCTTCCTAATTATTTACTGTCAGTTTTGAGCAGTAAGCAGGGAAAAGTGGAGATAAATGCTCAAGTCAATATTCTTCCAAAATCTCTATTGGCTAATCCTCACTAAGTGCAAGATTTATAGATGAAGAAAAGACCATAAATAAAAAGTGTAGAGCGTGGAACCAGGAGGGAGGTGAGGGGGGGGGTGTGAGGGAAGATCCATCAAGCGTCATATGAGTTGGGAAATGGGCAAAAATGTCATGGTGAATAATGAATAAATAATAAACCTTTACAAAAAAAATAAATTGTTCAAAGGTCGTGCTCCTGATACGTTGACAGTAGCCAGAACAAAGGAAGTGTGGAGTGAACCGTGTTTATTACAAATTATGGCTTAGTCATTAAGTATAATTAGTGCCCTGCGACACTGCAGTGACTATTGATTGCACGCACGACCGCACATGCTTGTTGCGCGATCAGTAGCACAACCGCACCTTCTAGAGTGTTCCAGTGAGCATGAATTTTCATTAATCGGCTTTGGACGAGTTGTGCATTCCACGAGGAAAAGTAGCTTACGGTGACAATCAAAGCATTGGTTCAAAAATTTGTCAAGTAAAATGTGATTTTAGAGGCATTTTTTAGGTATGACAACCCAGGCACATCGATGCTAATCAGTCAGTTGATAACGCTTTGGCGATTGACAAAAGTTGGTCAAGGTCACTGACAAGAGCGATTTACTAGCAGTCAGTCATGTCAAACTCACGACTGCCTAATTCGAAAGTAATTTTTTTAAATTGGACTACCTAATCCACTGCACGTATTGACCCCAAATTTGTATTCGGTTTAGCCTCGTACTTCAAAATATATAAATATATAGGATTTTCCCAATAAACCCGGCCTTTTTTTAATTTTTTGGCAACACTGGATGGGGCTCTTGACGTGGAAAGCTATTGTGCAATCGACACCTTCCCAGGCATAAAATAGCAGAAACAATAAGTGTACCACTTGAAGATTATTTACCATTGTGGGGGGGGTCGTGAGATACAGGCACTTTAGTATGCCAATAATACGAGCGTTTGTTAAAAAGAAGTTATTGCTTTTGTTCCCTCAATGGTGTCTCTCAGTCTCAATGCACCAAGTGACTTCCTGCATCCAATTTCCGTTGGTTTCGAGTTGTATGGAAGAAATAAGTAAATTTGGTTTTTTTTTTTGCCCCCGAAAATTTCACATTTTTATTCATTTTAAAGCCTCAATAAATCAACGAATTGAAATGAATTAAGCTACAGAACTTCAGAAGACAGTTTACCATCACAAGTCGGATTTTTTTTGAGTTTGGTGTGTTTCCAAGGCGGTGACTTAAACGTCACACATTAAATAATATGCTATATTCCCAAGGGGATATGGGTTTAAGCAAGCACAGTAGCCGTGCTTATGTCGATGAACGTTACCCAGATTCCCCTCCGTTGGATAATCCTGATGGATAGGGTAACCTTCTAATTGATGTTTAATTTTGCATGAGAGGAAGATATCATCCACTGAGGCAGTGATGTGCCTAAATTTTGTCTCGCTAGCCCCTTCATAGCCGTTGTCTTGCTTTCTTTTCCTAGTCCGGTTGGGGGCTGAATCGAGTCCTTCACCCCCCGGAAATGCAGCTTTCAACGCCTTTTCATTTGTTCGAGTAACTCGCTCATTTTGTTTACATCTTGTTCTATTTGTATTAACAATGGAACGATTGGTGACAAGGAATCTACCTGAGGGGACGGGGTCAAATTTTCGTGAGGTGTCGTAGGCATTAGTGTCTGCATCGGAGGAACACCTGGGTCTTCGTCGACGAGCATTCCACGCAATAAATCCCCTGTCTCTGTTGAAATCGTGGGTACTGTAGGAGTTGTCACACCTGCGGAGGAGAGATTTGAGTTGAGAGAATAGTCCGAAACTCCTGTCATTGGTTGTATCTCTTGCCGATTGGTATTTTCGTCTGCATCTATTCTTGGTCTCTTGGGGAGGGAGGTAGAGTTTCTCGAACGCCTCTTGTTCCTCCGGGTGGTGTGCATCATCAAGCATTGATTAGCAATTGAATATATTTAAATTAATTTGAATGAACCTTAATAGCTTACTAGCTGAGTAGTATTCTGCATACACGGCCGCATCCTTCAGAATTTTCGTGTTCATGGTTTTGATCGTGTACTGATTGCGTACTCAATAAACTCCTCTCTAGAGCGTTATAGAGGCGAAAACGTCCAATAATTGCACTTAATTAGCCATTCAAAAGGTTCATGAAAGTTTGAAGAAAAATATTTGCTTATCGCTAGTACGATGAAGATGGTATTTTGTGGCACAAATTTATCCTCAGAACGAGGGATGACGATCAGATGAGTTAAGAATCCTTGTTAATTACGTGCAAGATGCGACAAGTAAAGTGGCCAGTCGCACTTACTGGCTGGCGCCAAATTTTCCCCCGAAAGGTAGTCGTTTCGGTTTTGTGGTATTTACAGACTACATGACACCGTCTCTATATATCCGGTGATAGTAGCAGATTTCGTTTCTGTGCTTAGGGGAGCTGCCGACATGAAAACCGGAGATTTTCGACAAATTAGATTCTGTTTTCTGCAAAAATTGAGTTAGAATCCTGGTTTGGGGTAACAGGACTGGGCACTGAGTTTCCTTCGCATGAACATGTGGCAAAATGTAAATCTCTTGAATACTATTACTCGATGTTGGTTTTGCAAGTTCTAGTAGCAAGACTTGCTGCCATATTTGCAGAAAGACATCTCATCCATAAGTGTCTCAAAATTGAGTCGCTTAGATTGGTTCCACTGGACAGAGATGGCATGTGCTGAAGGACCTTAAGAAGGCTACGATCACCCAAATCGACTTATGATGGAAGTTGTTGGACCCGTTTCTCCTGAGGAACAAAAAGAGTGTAAGGGATGCGTACTCCACAAATATAACACTGTTTTTTACTTTACGAATTTACTTTTAATAATTTAAGTGCAATTTTCCGTTCGGTCTATGACCTGCTGGTTTAATACTTTATTATAAGGAAAGATATTTCGTTTTTTTCATTATTCGCTTGAAATTTCAAAATAACTATGTATAACACAAAAAGACTAGACTATTTGCCTCTTGATGTGAAAGCTCGCTTCTATAAAGCGCAAAGTAATGCATAATTCAATGAATAATTGAAAATAATAAACCAATTTCTCAATAGGAATCGATAAATTATTTCTTAAAATTTGCAAAACATAAAATTTGTTATCCAGTAAACTGCGAAAGCATCAAATTAGTTAAAATAATAACTGATATTCAAAATAAAATGATTTACATGGCAAAGTTGAATTGGCTATTTTATTTTAAGAAATATTCATCAGCAGTGTGAAAATTCTAAATGACGAACGTTATATAAATAGATGAATGTTAATCGAAATGAAAATGAATACTTGAACATGAGAGAGTACAAGATATTATTTTGAAGTCATCTAAAAGAACATATGTACAGTTAGAGATAAAAATCAATACTGTATAATTAAGTATAAACATGAAATTAGTTAAAATTTGTATTAAAACTTTATAAAAATCTTTTATATGCTGACCTAATTTTGGCCATGAATCGTTTGTTATTCTTTCTCCTCCTAAACGCGGTTCTTTCAGTCATTTTTATATATTTTCCTTTAATTTAATGATAGAGGCAGAAATAGTTCCAGAGCATGCTCTTCGTTCCATCACTTGGGAGCTCTTTTTGGGCATGCCTATTCATCAGGTCATCGAGATTTTTAAGAGACTTGAAGGTACAATTTCTAGTGTAGATCTCTGGTACTCCGAAAAGGTAAATCAGCTTTTATTAACTTCATTTTAGTCACCATTTGATTACGATATTCTTCTTCACCTTCCTAATAATGGACTTAAATTGCATTTTGAACCAATGTGGCAGAGATTAAAGGTATAGCTTAGTATTTTCTAATCTTCTTCCAATCAGCTGATCGAAATCACCGACTTGACTAAGATAGCGTTGCGCTACCTATCTCATCAAGTAAACTCATCTACTAAACCGCCCAATCTCTCAAGCGTTATAAATGTGTTTGGGTCAACTAAACGACTTTGTTAGTCTTATTTGTTTTTATGCCATTGTACAATATGATTTATATGTTTCTTTGTTTCTGTGCTAATATTAGTGAATTCTAAGTTGGAAAGATTGATCATTTTGTTTTTTATTTTCTTTAAATATAATTTAATTGTCTTAATTGTTATATTATGAAACGTATCGGTTTGGTTTGTCTCCGGCTTTGACACTTGAATTGAGTGATGGACTTTTCTTCTTTTCCGTGTTAGATTTTTGCTAACCATATGTTGGTGCCTGCTCCTCTCTTCTTAACTGTTTAACTGCGTTTAGTCATAGGAACAACATCTGGATTCGTCCCAGATTTCTCTATTTAGTCTCTATTCTTCTGTTTATCTAGAGAAATACATATTTTCCGAGCTGATATTTCTTAATATTATCGTGGCACCATGATATTGAATTCATATTGTGATAAAGGAATTTAGAGTTATCCCGTTTATCAAATTCTCCCCACATTAAACTTTCATATCACCTAATAAGTCCCTGTTGAAATTACCCAAAAATTCCCTGCGCAGGCATCATGCACCCTCTAATGATTTCATATAATTAGCCTGATCAAGCTATTTAGTTGGGCCTTTGAATTATCGTTCTTTAATTCTTTGAATAAGTCCTTACAGCTCTCTATCTTTCTCTTCTATTCATCTTGCTGTTTAGTGTAGGTGATAATAAATTGGAAGGATGGTAACTTGGCAACTTCAGTTGCCACTTCCTTGTTGTTCTTGCTTGCAACAAATAAACCTGCATTTTCCCCCCATTTTCCAGTGGCAGATGAGGAGTCAGGTCTCTACCGTCTCTGTTATCGAGGTCTCACTTTTTTGGCCGCTCTCTCATCCCCTGTAGATGTGATGAGATCCACTGGACTGAGTTCTACTTCTACAGTTGGAACTCTTGTGGATACTGGATCTGCGTCGACGTCTATTGACGAAGAATCGTTGATCGTTCGACGCGTCTTTATCTATCCTGGTCCCAATGAAGAAGCATCCAAGTGAGTGAAAGTGAATAAAAACTCCCCTCTACCTCTATTCTTCATTATAACTAATGAATAGCAAAAAGGATATGTGCCTACGGGGTGGGGGGGGGGGTATAGCTTGGTGCTGGGATGTTGTAAATTTCTTGATTGTGGTGAATATGTAAGGATGCTCCCACTGTGGTTGTAGATTTAAAAAATTCTGTTCAGAGTTTGATTAAAAGGCCTAATATAACCAGATTGATAGGTCCAGATATTTCTAGTCGAATGAATGGAATATGGTTTACAAAGCTTTCAACTTTTCTCTATTTACAGACTTCCACCAGAACTTCCTGCTGGTTGCTACCATGGCAACGTATTCCTGGAGCGTCTACAAGTTGTTCATGCCAATGGTCGAACTGCTAAACTATGCTTCGATCTCGTATGTCAAGGTGAGCCCTCGTTAGCACTTTGAACCTTCTCAGACTTTTTCATGTGTATCTAATTTGTGTTTGTTTTTTTCTATTAGATCTTTTATCCAATTCACTTACTGATCCAAAACTCCACAGATTTTCATCTGTCCTAGCCTTCGGAGATACGTCGCAGGTAATTCATTACCTTTGTTTATAGTCTGTGTTCAAAAATTTAAAATTAAAAGCAGCGTGGGGGGTGGAAGGTGGTTCCAATTAGTCGTTCAATTTAGTGAGCACTCGTATTTTTCTCTGGTTGCCACTAATTAATGATTGGTTGTCTATTGTTGCTGCTCTAGCTCCGTGTCCTGTCAGTAGAGTTACTCTAAATGCCCGATCAAGTTAGGCGCATAAACCCCCTTAAAAAACGAGTGAGTGAGCTTAAAATGAGGATCTAAACGTAAACTCTGAGCCAGTAGAATCCCGGTTGTGGCATATGTCGCGCAGAGGTGTAAGTCAGTATTTACTCACTAACAGCCTATTTTCTCTCCGTAGGATGTGCTCTCAGCTCTAGGTTCACCTAGCCGTGTTTTCTACAAAACAGAGGACAAAATGAGCATCCATCTGCCTCAGACCTACCGCCAATCGCGTCAAACCAGATGCGACTACTTCTACAACTATTTCACTCTTGGTCTTGATGTTCTCTTCGATTCACGCACTCATCGTGCCATCTCCTTCATTCTGCACACTAACCAACCTGGAGAATACACCTTCAACACGTAAATCTCGCTTGTATTTGTTTGTTATTAACAGTAGTAATGTGAGATTAGGGTGAGCAAATAAGATATTTCTACTTGTTAACATAGAATTAAGCAGCTAATCCTCTAATCCTGTGATGGCTGAAACTCCACCTCAGAGTCGCTAAAGTGTTAATCTAAATGTTTAGGTAGGTATAAATGGGGAGGAGAGGGGGGGGGGGTTCTTTTACAAATATAACCATCAGCAGATGAGAGGATTTCTGGGAAGCACCTTGCCTTAGATTCAAGACCCACAATGACGTACTTATCAACTGGAAATACTGCAGCAAGGAAATTAGGATGGATAGTCGCTGTGTACAACAGCCATTAACATCTATTAAAGTCAATTCGTCTCCTACGACAAGGCTCTCAAACGCGACTTTCACTCTCTCCGTTAATCAATCCTGCCTTTGTTCTATGGACACGGCTATTATTGTCTCCCTCGACATCCACCAGGTTAAGATCTGGTGGATGTCGGGAGGCCAGTTATGCACATTGTGATTGGTGTAGAATCTCAGGTGGTTTTTACTTCACCAGAATGTTTAACTTTCCTCAAAAGCTTCTTCACCTTTGTCGTGCAACGATTTTCTGTGCGAAGTTGACCTCTGAGTAGCGAAGATCTCCACTGAATGCAGCGTTCGTGGTTGGAGGGTGGGGGGGGGGGGGGGGGGG